GTATGTATCGAAGCATTTCGATTCGTAATTTTAACACTTGATTAATATTTAATATTTAAGATGGATTAACCCGAAAATTTTTAGTACTAGTTCTAATGTTAGTGTTAGTTCTAGTTTTAGTTGTTATTCAGCGTTAGATTGTATATTCTTCATTGGATTAAACGTAGAACTAACACTAGACCTAGAACTAGAAACATTCGGGTTTAGCCGTCTTAAAAGACGCATGGCTAAACCCGAATGTTTCTAGTTCTAGGTTTAGTTCTGCTTTCAATTCACTAAAAATATAGAACAATCTAGTGCTGAATTAACCCCGAATGTTTCTATTTCTAGGTTTAGTGTTAGTTTTACTTTCAGTTCACTAAAAATATACAACAATCTAGTGCTGAATTACACTTAAAACTTCTTTCTAGAGCACGTCTGAATATTCTCCCTTCATCTATACGCCGCACATGGCTGGCCCATAGCAACTTTAAGCTGTGTCCAAACATAAAACGTCAGTCGAATTCATTGCCGTCTCTGGCGAGGTTGGTTCCCAGATATATGAAGTTCCTTCTCTATATTACAATCCGACACAGTTAGATCCCGTCCTATTGGCATGTTTCCACGTGATTGCATCACATTCATTTTGTCGCCGTTGATAGGTAGCCTTGCATCTCGTGCTGCCGTGTTGAGTTTAGCTAAGACTTCTTCTTCTCAGAGCCAGGGTAGAAAGTGTAGGTGACCCAATCCAAGCCAACCCTTTTTTTACGACGTCGGGGAAAATCTGCTAAACAGACTAGGATCTTGAGCAGCCGGATAGTGCGAGGTTGGGGTACAATCAGTGATGTAAATTTACTGTTGTAAATTACAGTTTTTTTCTCAATATTTAATTCTTTTGATAAATTACTATGGTAACCTTTTTATTATTTTGAATCAAGGTCAGTAGAATCTAACTTGATTTTGATTTAATAAATCCTTTATACAAACTACAAAGGAAACAAAAATAAACTAGAACTACACTAGCACTATCACTAGAACTAACACTAGACCTAGAACTAAAAATATTCTTGTTAAGTGGTGCGGTTTTTCAAAAAATGTTTGACGTTTCGGATGCCATGTTGCAACCTTCTTCAGAAACAAGTTCGAAGTGACTTCGAACTTGTGATCTTGTGAACAAAGAGACTTCCACCATATAACAGAATGCAGTTCACCCGTATCCAAAGCTTTCCATACGAAACCGTTAGAAAATAACTGTTCTTTTGATTTATAATAGGCAATTTCAGTTATAAAGTTTGCTACATTAGATCCATTAACCAGAAGCGCCGATAATTTACTGATATATGTCAATGCTGCAATATACCCGTCGTTACTGAGATGTTTTCCCATAATTTTTGAATCTAGTAAATTTGCTACTAAGTGTAAAGGTGCAACAACCATATCTCTTCGTGCTTTTAAAAATAATAGAATTGTTTTTACCTCTAAAACTGGGCATTCACTTTGTGGTTGATCATTCAAATGTTGAAAATAGTCAACAACACGAGAAATGCAAGGTTGGGAAGTTTGTACATTTTTTAAAATTATTGAAATGAGATTTAAAATCTTATATTATGTATCAAGTTTCTCCAAGAATATATCGCTTAAAATGTTATGTTTAATATTTGCGTCTAAAATACTTGTTATAGTTTTTGTTATAACCAACTCTTTTAAGTTTCTTATAGGGAATTTACCGCATTATCAAAACACCGAAAGCGCATGCGCAGATACATCCTAGCTCCTAGCGGTGATTTATGAAAAATTTGTTTGGTAATTTACAGTAAATTACGGTAAATATGTTGGTAATTTACAAATTTAAATCACTCGGTACAATACTCCGACCCATTTAATACACCTGTCCTCGTCTTGTCTCTGCCAGAGTCTCTGCAAACTTGGAACTGTGTTCTTCTCTGTTCTTCTCCTCAAACCCAACCCAATCCAGCCGACGTATCTTCAGACGCACGGCTAAACACGAATTTTTCTAATTCTATGTCTAGTCTTAGTTTAATAAAAACATGCAACATAATGATATTTAGTGCTAAATTTAGCCGTCTTGAAAGACGTACGGCTAAACCCGAATATTTCTAGTTCTAGGTGTAGTATTAGTTCTAATTATAATTGTAATTCAGCGCTAGATTGTTGTATATTTTTAGTGAACTGAAAGTAGAACTACCACTAAACCTACAACAAGAAACATTCGGGTTTGAGAGCCGTCTTGAGAGACGTTCGGCTAAATCTGAATGTTTCTAGTTCTAGTGTTTACAATTAAAACTAGATCCAACACTATATATATACAAAATAACGATATCATATTAGTACAAAAACTGTGTAATTTTCAAAGACGTCAAATCTAATTAAGCCGAGGTCGCTTGCGGCCGAGGCACAATATTCTTACCAAATTAATGCAAAACCTCAATGGTTTTTAAATATGGGTGTTATATTAATACCGAAGTCGCTTGCGGCCGAGGCAAAAGATCAATATCATATGAATACAAAAACTGTGTAATTTTCAAAGATGTCAAATCTAATTAAGCCGAGGTCGCTTGCGGCCGAGGCACAATATTCTTACCAAATTGATACAAAACCTCAATGGTTTTTAAGTATGGGTGTTATATTAATGCCCAGGTCGCTTGCGGCCGAAGCAAAATATCGATATCATATCAGTACAAAAACTGTGTAGCTTTCAAAGACTTTAAATCTAATTAAGCCGTGGTCGCTTGCGGCCGAGGCACAATATTCTTACCAAATTGATAAAAAAACCTGAATAATTTTTAAGGATGAGCCTTATATTAATCCCGAGGTCGCTTGCGGCCGAGGCAAACGATCATATCAGTACAAAAACTGTGTAGTTTTCAGACATAAAATGTAATTAAGCCGAGGTCGCTTGCGGCCGAGGCAAAGGATCGATATCATATCAGAACAAAAACTGCAGTTTTCAAGGACGTCAAACCTAATTAAGCCGAGGCACAATATTCTTACCAAATTAATGCAAAATCTCAATGGTTTTTAAGTATGGGTGTTATATTAATGCCGAGGTCGCTTGCGGCCGAGGCAAAATATCGATATCATATCTGTACAAAAACTGTGTAGTTTTCCAAGACGTCAAATCTAATTAAGCCGAGGTCGCTTGCGGCCGAGGCAAATGGATACAAAACTTGAATGGTTTTTAAGTATGGGTGTTATACAACATCGATATCATATCACTAAAAGAACTGTGTAATTTTTAAAGACGTCAAACTTAATTAAGCCAAGATCGCGATACCGAAATGTAAAAAAATGTTAATAAAAGTGTCCTCTTTCCAATGAACCTACCCGTGTTGAAAAATAACTTTTAGTTTTTGAGAAAACAATATTTGAAGTTTTGATAAAATTTTCAATGTTGCAATTTTCATCAATAATTTTCAAAATTCGCTATAAAATTAGTTTCTTGAAGGATCCTTGTGGAAATATCACCAATTATTAATTAAAGTATCTTCTTTTTAACGCGAAAAGCCGTTTTGAAAAATCACTTTTAGTTCTTGATAAATAAATTTTTGAAATAATCGAAAATTTTTTCGAATTTTGCAATTTTCTCTAGAAGTAGAAACATGCGGGTTTAGACATACGTCTTTTAAGACGGCTAAATGCGAATTTGTGTTAATTCTAGGCGATTACCATCTATTTTTAAGAATATAGTCTTTGTTGATTTAAATTCCATAAAGATCTGTTAACACCAAACCAATATTAGAACCTGTATTATTGTAAATATAAAAGATATTTTATTAAAATAATAAATTAATATCATTAAAAGTTAAAATGAAAAAAAAATTATTATAATGTTGTAAGAATAGATTTGTATAAACTGAAACTAAATTAGCTCACAGTATAATTTCATAATACCAACACCATGATGAAACACATTATAAACAGATCTTTGAAAAAAAAGGTTATTGGTGAACAGGTAGAGTTGAACGGTGACGGCAAGTCGCAAGTGTATACGGCCTATTGGTACATACGGATACTTGCACAATTCCGCTTGCTGGGTTGCAACACCCGAACGATTGATATTACGCTGATATATACGAGTCGCGGTTGGGCAACGGGCTCGGAGCCGCGGCCGCAAGGTTAACACCACCTCTCGGAGATCTCTGCCCGTTCGCGAGCCACTTAACAATAAGCTGCACCTGTTTTAACAGTTACCCAAGCGTCCGAACACGCCCAAACTCAGCGCGAATTAAACCTATGCACCGGAGAGACAACGACGCGGACAACCACCGTCGGGGTTTCTTGGTAAAAGGTGCGCGCTCGAGAAAGAGCTATCTCAAAATTGCATTCGCAATTATCTCTCAGAAAGTTCAATGTGAAAAGGAAGGGAAGGATACGAAACTTTTCATCACATTTATTCCTTCGAGATTAATTGCCTTTGGTTTTAGAGTAACAATTATGATAATAAAATCTACGTGTCTGCCATCTAATAAATTAATTTGTACAACGCGTGCCTACGCACTCCTGGGGACGGCAATAAACGCTGTCATAAATATGCAAATGTGTGATATTTAAGAAAGCGACATGTGGGTATCGCGCCTGGCCGCCTTCGCTTCTAACTAGTAATACCGTTTCACGACCAATAAGTTCCTATAATTGTGCGAAACGCGTTCCCCAATGGAAACAACGTCTGATGTTTACCGCTAGCAAATACCTACTGCTTTTGTATAACAACCCACTAACGCTATACGACTTTCTACGCGTGTTAAAACTTTATCTTCAAATGCATTATTCATATGTCAAGTTCTTTAACGAGGTTTCCAAGTATTCGAATAAAAATATTTTTTACTTTCTCGCATATTTCACGAAATATTATATATATCTTAATAAACCTAGAATCTTGTAAACCATAATATTTCATTACATAACCATACAAAAAAGATCAAGTAAAATTGAATAAGGTTAATATAAAAAAAAATCTTCAAATACTGTTTGTATTATTATTACTCCATTAATTTTTAATAATTAACAACGATCTTCTAAGTTTACTTTTTCTTAATAATACAACTTTTAAATACATTTTAAAATTCTTACCTCTTAAAATCTCCACACCCAATCAAAATTTACAAAGCAACACGTGTCTTTTCGTTCTGTTCATGGAACTTTTTCATTCTCATTTCTAATTCAGGCCTAAAGTGCCTGATAAGTCCCTGAACGGGCCAAGCGGCGCCATCTGCCAAAGCGCAAATGGTGTGCCCCTCGATTTGTTTGCTAAGTTCCCATAACATATCGATTTCATCTGGTCTACCATTACCGCTGATAAATCTATGAATCATTTTGTTCATCCAATTAATACCTTCCCTGCACGGGGTACATTGACCACAAGATTCATGTTTGTAAAAGTGGATTAAACGCGCAATTGCTTTGACAATGTCAGTGCTTTTATCCATAACAATGACTGCAGCTGTTCCAAAACTGGTTTGGACCGCGACTAAAGCATCGAAATCCATCATCACATCATCACAAACACTATTAAATAAAATTTTATTAATAAAATAATTTAAACAAACAATTTTTTTTACCTCTTTGGAATTAAAGGTGTTGATGATCCACCAGGAATAACAGCTAACAAATTATCCCAACCTCCTGTAACACCACCAGCATGTCTTTCAATTAATTCTTTAAGAGGGATGCTCATTTCTTCCTCAACAGTACATGGTTTATTAACATGACCGGAAATATTAAAAAGTTTTGTTCCAGAGTTACGAGTTCTCCCAAATGAAGCAAACCATTTTCCACCACGTCGACAAATTGTCTATTTAAAACTTATTCAGTAAAAAGTCAAATTTTTAATTAGAATTTTCTTACAGGCGCTACAGCTACAGTTTCTACATTTGTAACAGTTGTGGGACAACCAAAAACACCAACATCAGCTGGGAAAGGTGGTTTTAGACGTGGTTTACCCTGCTTTCCTTCAATTGACTCAATCAAAGCTGTTTCTTCACCACAAATATATGCCCCAGCTCCTCTATGCACGAAAACATCAAAATCGTACCCCGAACCGCAAGAATTTTTACCCAAAAGTCCCGCTTGATAAGCCTACAAAATAATTCATAATAAAAAATATTTAAATTATTAGTATTTATTAATTTTACTTCAGCTATGGCTACTTGAAGATTTGAAGCTTCATTATAAAATTCTCCTCTAATATAAATATAAGCAGCTTTCGCCCCCATTGCTTTACCAGCAATTAAACAACCCTCAACAAGCTTATGAGGGTCATGTCTCATGATTTCTCTATCTTTGCAAGTTCCAGGTTCACCTTCATCAGCATTAACAACCAAATACTTGGGACGACCATCACTAGGTTTGTTCATGAAGGACCATTTCATTCCAGATGGGAAACCAGCCCCACCACGACCACGTAAACCAGAGATTTTAATTTCATCTAATAAAAATAAAATAATTAATTTTTTTTTAAACAAAAAATTTATAAGTTACCAATAATCCAATCGGCTCCTTTTGAAATAATCTCTTTAGTTTTATACCAATCCCCGCGTTTTAACGCTCCTTTAAGCCTCCATTCGTGCTTTCCGTATAGGTTGGTGAAGATGCGATCTTCATCAGCCAACGGTCCAAATTTAGTTTTCGTTTGGGGTGGCGGTTGAGAATAGAAAGCAACCTGGGCATGATTAACTAAAGGAGCAGCAACACCTGTTCGAAAAAATACTTATTAAGTAAAAAATTAAAGTTGAAATTATATAACACGAACTGACAATTGAGATTTTTAGGTTATGTTTTTTGGTCAAGCGAAAAAGAGATTTTAGACTTACTCGGAGTTGTTAAAGGGGTTGTTTTAATTAAAACAAGCTTACCCAATTGTGTTTTTGCTACATTACTAAATCTAACCAGCGTACTTGCCATTTTTTTGGCATAAAATCTTTTTGACGTTTAACGTCAAATTCGTTTGTAAGGTTTTACCCAATATTAAAATACCTAATCATTTCATTTTTAATTTAATTTCTAATAATGAAATTAATAGTATTAATTGTGTATTATTAATTGTAAATGATAAATTGATATTAAAAAAGAAATTAATGAATTAGGTTATATGATTATTAGGACTTGTGAGACATCACTAAATCGTAGTGCAGGTGTACTCAGGTGACAGTTCTGTTTTTAAAACCTCTTTTCCGGAATAATAGCAAAAAATGTCGGGATTATCAGCAGAAAATGAAGATAAAAGCCTCCCGGTGCTTTTCCAAGAAGGTCTCGACCTTTACAACCACATAGAAACTTTAAATGAACCGACTAACAGTTCAAATTTTCAGGTAAAAATATAAAAGATCCTAAAAAGAATTTGTTTATTAATCCACTTATTCCTTCTTAAATATTTGTTTTAATAGAGTTATGTAAAAAGGACTATGAAAATGTTTGAAGACGCAACACGTTTGGTTTCGATGGCGTCTCTTTTTAGTACAAATGAAACTTTAGAGGATATCCCAACAGAAAATCTTCAATATTTAATGTTACCTGCCTTATTGGGTACTTTAAGCTTAAAATTAACAGGTGGAGAACGTAAAACAACGATAGATGTAGCCGAAGTTTATTATAAAGACTTCCTGCAAAGAAGTAACGATTATGGATTAAGTAATTATGATTTTAATGAACAGAAAAAAGAAAGTTTTGAGCCACGATCGCAAGTTGATGATTTAAGACACTCTGTAAATACCAGAGCCGATAAAATCCAGCGTTTTCTTAAACAAAAAGAATTAAAAAAGAAACTGGAAGATTTAAAAATAAACATGAAAAATGAAAATGTTGATGATGAAACTAAAAGAAGTTATTTTCTTACTATGTTAGAACTTTTCATTTATGAAGCTATCGATGAACTAAAAAGTATTGAAATGGAAAAACCCATTTTGGAACATATGGCCAAATTAGGACAAAGAGATGAAAAACCTTTAAAAAGACCACCTCCACCTCCATTAAAACCAATAATTATTACAAGAGATGAAGTTCAAAAAGCTGTTTTTGGAGCTGGATATCCTGCTTTACCCACAATGACTGTGCAGGAATTCTATGATAAACGAGTTCAAGATGGAGTTTTCCCCGATCCAACAAAACCTAACAATACACCAATGAGCATGCAACAAGCCGCTCTGCAAGGTGTTTCATTACATGATGATGATAAAGAAGCTGAGGATGAAGAAAAGAAAATTGAGGAAGATGATCCCGAGAATATTGAAAGAATGAGAGCTAGAGATGAATTTAAAGATGAACATAGGAGGGGTTGGGGAAATAGAATGAATAGAAGTTAAATGAAAAATTTTGAAATGAATGTTTATTTGTATTATAATTTTTGTGTATTTTTGATATTACTTTTTTTGTATTTTATATAGGATCATGTTCATTTAGAAAAGAAATAGATTTTTTTTTGATAAAAATATTTGTTATTATTTTGGTCAAAAAGGTCACTGTATTGCATTAAGATATCTTATAAGAGATGGCGCTAAGTATGCATAAACCGATTTTGTGTATCGTTTACTTATGATAAGATATGAAAAAGTACAATTTTTTTATCGAGTTTTCGTCAATAACAAAGATAACACTGAACTAGTTAATACAAATTGCAATAGTTAATTTTTTGAACTCAAAAAACCGAAAGAAAATCAACCTTGAATTAATTAGGATGTAAATTATATCAGAAAAAGTAAGTATTATTTATTATTGACATTAAAACACTTAACACACTTTTATTAGAGATTATATATTTGATTTTAATATTTTTATATTTGTTTATAAATATATTTTCGAATTAGACGTAAGTTTATCTTTTTATTCAAAGATGGCACGTTTTTATTTCATACTATATTCTGACAGATGGCGTTGAATCCACTATAAGATCGAATCGTTGAAAATTGCTAACATTACGACCAATAACCATTTTTTTTATGATTCAACGACTATTTCAAGCCGTTACGTTCCATAAAATATTCAAACCCAATCTTTTATGACTCAAAATCATATTCGTAACACCCCAAAATAATCTCCCATTAATTTATGAAAAAAGAATGCTCAACGGTTTCTTTTGATTTAACCTTAACCTAATTTACGATCAATTTAAGAAAAAAGTATTTAATAACACACGGTAAACGATATAGGTTTTCTTAACGATCTTGTAACGTAAAATAACGTTTACGATTGTTTTAATTGGCGGTTGAGTTGAGAAGAAGACACTCTCTCGCTGCGGGGCTAAAATTTTTGGGTAAAAAGTGTGAAAAGGAGGGAAAATAGAAGAATTTGTTCGGTGGAAAGAGATGAAGCGATGGGATAGCGCAAGCGTTGGCGGATCACGACTGCTTGTTTCGATCAGACGCACAGACGGTCTTCGCCGTTGCCGTCAGTGCAATTTCAAAGCAACGAGGTGACGCAACGGTATTCCTCTTCTAAACAATCCCTACGATTACAACGTGCGAATGTTTTCGGTTTTACGCGATATAAAAATTAAATTTTATAAAATCGTTTTAATTTTTTTTTATTAAGTGTTGGTAAATATTCTTTTACTTTTTTATTTAAAGAATTTTTTTTTCATTAGGTTTTATAACCTTAAAAAAAATCGGGATCGTGGGTGTCAGGTGATTTTTGTTAGTTTTTTTTTAGTGCGGTTCTGTGGTCCATTCAACACTAACTTCACATCGGTATTAAAAAAAAAGTACTTTGGTTATTGGAATTTTTTTATATTAATATAATTTTTTTCAAGGTAAGTTTTATTTTGTTTACTTTCACTTAATTGATTTTTTAAAATGTTTTTTATAATCTGTCAATCAAAAGTTTCGAAACATATGACGTAATTATACTTGATTATCAATAATAATAGTGTGACTCAAAAGTAAATAAATAGTTTATAGAGATTCTACGTTAAGAATTTTTTTTTAAATTACTTAATGATACGTTCCCTGTATAAGTATTTTATATTGCGTAAAATGTTATTTTGTAAAGCTAAAAAAAGAATTGCCTATAAAAAGTAAGTCTTTTTAATCGTTGTTTGGGAGAGTTTCCTCATCAAGCTTGGTTTGAGATTTACAGCGTTTTCATTACGAAGTTTTGTGATTAAAAATAAAAGGAAAGAAAAAACAACTGGACGTGGACTAACCTCTTCTAATTGAGATATAAATAGCGTCGAAAGTTACGATCTAAGCGTTATTTTTTCGACGTTATCTAAGCGTGGGACTCATATAACGTTTTTTGAAGCGTGCGACGATATTCTTATGAAACCCGGCATATAAAGAGAGCGCAAAAGTCATATATAACACATTTCTACTTGTTTAGTACTTTTTGTGCTTATAATTGATTTGGTAATAACAAAAAGTTTTATAGAATTGTTCTTCCGGGACACCTATAAACTCTACTTGTCACTTTTAGTAAATTTGTATAAATCTATGATCTTCCGAACAACCAATAAGAATTCAGAACAAAATTTTGTTGACATCAAACTAGATTGGTTTCCTTGGAGATTCATAACAATCAAAAAAATTGAAAAATAAACAACAGTACATCTTTGAACAACGATTAGAGTAGACGCGTATCACGCTTCTTACCAAAACGACGCCATATTGAAGAAGTTAAACAAGCAATTTTGAACCTATTATAAATATAACCTATATTTATTTCCTAACCTCAAAATATGACGAATTATCTCGGATGCTGATAGAGGAAGCGTATCAAAAAGAAAGATGTTCATTTCATCAAAAAAGTAAGTATATTGAATAATACAGTGAATTTCACGTAAAATGCAATATACAAAAATATATTTCCATAGAAATCTACTTACTTTGTTCCACATAAAATGCATAAAAGACCTAAAACTAGAATCATTCGGGTTTAGCCGTCTTGAGAGACGTGCGGCTAAACCCGAATGTTTCTAGTTCTCGGTCTAATGTTAGTTCTAGTTTTACACTAGCACTATCAGTAAAACTAACATAAGACCTGGAACTAGAATTATTCGGGTTTAGCCGTTTTGAGAGACGTGCTGCTAAATTATAAGATACAATGGTTGACTATATTTCGCAGTCGATAAAGAGTAATTAGAGGTGTACACTTCTCAGTGATATTTTTCTGATTTCTCTTCTCTAGCGTGCTCCTATCGTGGCGTTGGGGGATGGCCTCGGATCGTCTTGGCTCTGAATCATTAAATACATTGTGGGGGTGATTAGCCCAGCGACAGTGTGCGATGGTTTCCCTCCAAGCCCCCTACATGCTTATTCCTATATTGTTTCGAGCTGGGGTTGGCATTTCCTCCCATCTCAAACCGTTATGGTTTTCCCACTTCGGTAATCGTCATATGCAGATGATGTAGTTTTCATCGCAGACTCGGAGAGGATTGCAACAGGCTGTACTCGAGTGGAGAGAAACAACTTTAAAGGAGGCGGTCATGATGTTGAACAAGGTGAAGAGTCAAGATATAGTGGTGACGAGGACAGAGGAACTTCTTACTCAGGTTAGGAGCTATCAGTCTATGAATGTAGGCATAGCAATCTACTAGACAACAGTCGATAAGGCTACTAAGGCTTACTATGCCCTGAGTCGGTGTGTGTTTGGAAGGCCAAGACAGTCGCAGATTACGGCCAGCCAAGAACTTAATTATTATGGTACAGAAGAACTCGTTGTTTATGATAAAAACATATACAAAGGTTGATAATGACTTAGCTGGTATACAGGGAAATGGTAAGACCATTATGATTTAAATATTTTAAATAAAATACTCGATAATATTGCTGATCCATAATAGCCAGGATTGTGAACAAACTATTACCCTTCATAAACATATAAATGTCACAGCAATACAACTCTCGGGCAATGCAGGGGATAAAGAGAAGTCTTAAAAGCACAAAACCGTTTTAGCTAGTTAGCTGAAAACAGTCAAGCATAATGGAATTCGTTGTAAATCGAGGAAATTCCTACGTGTAACCTATATACGATAACCTTTAGAAACATTTAAACAATCTTTTCAAATATTAGAAAATTATAGATACATAATAGATTCCCGTGTATACATTGATATATTTAATCTTTCATATCCAGATATTATCCCCAACACAGAATTAAAAAAAAAACAAAAGTTTTATGTCTTGCAGAAAGTAGACTTTAAACATGTCCATTTCCGTTTTATCGGAAATCGTCCTGCCATCTCCTGTCTTATCTCACGTTCAGTCATCTGGATTTCGTTTTCGCGATTTTCCGATTCTATGTTCTCTCCCAACTCCTGTCCATATATAACACTTTATTCCTCTATCACCTGCTAAATTATCAATTGTTGGTTATCATGTTTTGCTTTATCTACTATGACTTTACAATCGATACTGTGCATTAATGTGTGGCACCCTAAGTAATTCATATAGCGTTTTTGAAGCGATAGCGAGTCGGTTCTATGCCAGCTTTTAAATCACTCTACGTGTGGGGTATCATAAGAATACAATATACTGACTTAAGCCAGAACAGCGCGAATTTTTCAGAACTTTTAGATCAGGAAAGAAACAGAATCCATCGAGATTAGTTACCTCAAAGTAACGACGAAATAAGCATCTCGTTAAGAGCTTCTTAAATTGTCATCTACTAGCTCATACGCTGTAGGATAGGAGTGGGGTTAAATGGGTAAGCAGGCTCGTTAATAGAAACAGAAAGCGTTTTCCTTTTATTAAATTAATACTGTCGACATCACATTGCATACAATTAATGGCTTTGTTAATGTCGCAGTAAATTCCTGTAGCGTAGTAACTATTCTCATATTTCTTTATCATTTGATTCATATGGTCTAAGATTGCCTTCGTTGTGTACATATCTTTCCCAGAAGCATATTGAGAAGTATCTTGTCATTTTTAATCAAGAAATATATTTATGCCAACAAAAATAGTTTCACATTGTATATCTATGAATTAGTTAATATACTCTAATTGACTTTCAACGCATCGAAATCTATAGATTAAGTAATTGTATTCCATGTATCAGCAAACCCAAATAATATATTATTAATGTATTCAGAAAGACCTCTTGCGTGAATTATATAAAACATGCATCTATAGCATAAAGGTACATTTTATTTACTACAAACGAGTATGGTAAATTCTTATTAACATACTCATTTTGCATCGTGTGAGTTATCCAACTAACATCATTACCATTATTTTAAAAAGCAGAGCGGAATTATCCAATCGAACATGATTATTACAGTGTGTGTATTATTACACCACTACTATAAACAATTATTATATTTCCCTTTTTGCCAAGTTTTTTCATTTTAACAAAAAAAAATTAGATAAAATGAAAGGGTCTGGTAGATTATCATCAGGGTGTAAGTTTAGCATGGATGTGGTTTACATAATTAACGTTCTAAGCCTTAATATACAAAGGCAACTGCTTAATTTGAATATACCTTTATTACATGAGGAGGGGAAGCACGCGGGTTGATTTTGGTAGATATCAACGTTGACGACATCCTGGTTCGTATAATTACGTTTCGTTAGCATAATCCTATAAAACGCGTCGTAAAACCAGTAAATATTATGAGTATCTGGATAAAAAAAATCGTGTTTGTTGACACTTAAGTTTCTGTTTGTGGTTTTAAACAGGAAGTGGGAGATAAGTGAGAAAACCTAATAAAATTGTTAAGGAAAGTTGTAATTTTAAGTTACCTTCTTAAAATTGTAGTTACAGTCAAATTCAAAAACCGTCCTCGCGTTTAATGGTTAAGTCTGTAGGAATTTCCAATTAAGAAAAGTCTTTAATTGCCCGGAAAGACGTACGGCGGGAGTCGAATTGTCACTTCTAAAAACTGGTCGTAATCTATAAAACTCGGTCGAACTTTTTAATTAAACGCTCTTGAAGTTTCATTAGTTCGATTGTCAGGTATCGGCGAATTTAGAAGTTTCTTTGTCCCTTTTTGTTCTATCTTTGCAGACAAAACATCGATTAGATGAAGAGAGAAATAACTTTTTTTTTGGGTGGGTTTACGTGTGTTGAACGAATTTCTATGGGATACGTGAACTGAATTAATTTAAGGATAAATTGATAGCCGAAAAGTCTTTTGAAACTTTATTTCTTTTTTATTGCAAAAGTAATGGTTTGAAAACATTCAATTTTTAGTTCAATCTCTGCAAAACCATTGGATACGATTGGAGGACGATATCAACGAATATATTTCACACGCTGCGGAGCAAGCAAACGGCTAATGTTGTGCCATTGAACGTGAGCATCGCTCGAAAATAACAATATCAGCAGTTTTCACCCTCTTCTCGACTATGACATCATCGATTTTAGGAGATATCTCACTTTTTATTTTTTTTTGCTGGCCATCACGCCATTAAATAAATTTCATTAAATTTCGTTAAATAAACTTTTACACTAGCACTATCACTAGAACACTAGACCTAGAACTAGAAACATTCCATTTGTTAGAACAACATGTTAGTTCTAGTGACAGTGCTAGGTAGCGCTAGTTAGCATTAGATATCACTATAATAAAACTAGAATTAACACTAGAAAGTTTCGGGCTTAGCCGTGCGTCTAAAGACTAGAAACTTTCTAGTTCTAGGTCTAGTGTTAGTTCTTGTTTTACACTATCACTAGAACTAACACAAGACCTAGAACTAGAATCATTCGGGTTTAGCCGTCTTGAAAGACGTGCAGCTAAATCCGAATGTTTCTAGTTCTCGGTCTAGTGTTAGTTCTAGTTTTGCACTAGCACTGTTACTATGTAGAACTAAT